TCAGAAGTGAGACCCGGAAGATTCCAGGGTCAGCCGGGAAAGTAGAGAGGCCCCTCCGCTGTTTCAGGCCGCAGGTGGGAGGGCTCACGCTGCTGCAGCTGGGGGCTGTGTGACCCCCTCCCCCTCTCCCCCCTGGGGAAGTTATCATCTGGTCCTCCCAAGGAGGCCGACAGTGCGAGAAGCCCATCTTCCGGATGCACACACTGAGGTACAGAGGAGTCAGGGACCACGGCCTGGGTCATGGGGGAACTGACAGGGACCCTGCCTTCCCAGGGGCCAGGAAGCAAATCAAATACTGTCGGGAGCCTGGGTCAGTATTAAGAAGCCGATGATGGGAAGGAGCCCCCGGATAGCGTTAGACGGTGGGAGTCAGGGATTCCCGGAGAGGCTGATCGCAGAGTGGAAGGAGAAAGGCGGGGAAGGTGAGGGCACTTGGGTCAGCCCCAGCACGCACAAAGGCCCTGGGGCAGGAACAGGGTGCGCTGGGGCCAGCACTAACTCCTGACCGGATGTCGGACTGAGCGCAGGTCTTTCAAAACACAAGCCGACCGATGCCTCCAAGGGTTCCAGATGCACTTCATTTTTTTTTTTTTTTTTTTCATTCCAATTAAGCAGAAAGCCTTGCACGATTACGGATGAGGCCAGGGCAGTGAGGGCGGTTTTACCTTTTCCAGGCAGCCTGGGCCCAGTGGAGACAGCAGTGGATGTTTTAAATCTCTTTTTAATTAAGGAAAAAGCCCCAGCTTGCGTCAGGGATGAACTGCATGAGCAAGAGCCCGGGAAGACGCGCCAGAGAGAGGGAAGGGCAGGCAGGTGGGGTGGACGTGGCTGCCACCATCAGCCCCCCTCGGCCCGCCCACCTGCCCCCAGCGCCAGGGCGGACTCTGGTGGGCTCCCAGCCCTGAGCCTCTCCGGAAGGCTCCCTGGGTCTCGGCCAGGGGGGTGGGGGTGCAGTGAGAACCAAAGTCAAAGAAAGCAGGCAGAGCCCCTGGCACGGGCCCGGCTCACAGGAAATGCTTGGCGTGTGCAGCTCCGGGCTCCTCTGCGTCCACACCGCTGACGTCTGGGACAGACTGGGTTTTGTGGAGGGGGCCGCCCTGTGCCCAGTTAGGGGGGCTAGCCCTGGCCTCCAGAGGCTGCAGCGGCCTCCAGCCGTGACAACAAAAAATACCTCCAGATGCCACCGGTGTTCCCCAGGGGTTGAGTTGGCAAATCAAGTGCAAATGATTTTTTAGCACAAGTCCCACGCAATATTTGGGACACGCTGGCACCCGACAATTATTCCTCGTTTACCTGAAATTCAGATGTAACTGGGCATCCTGTGTTTTCCCCCTAAATCTGGCAACTCGGCGCGAGGGGGAGGAGTGCAGAATCCCCCCCAGGCGACAAGCGGAGAACCACGGTTCTAGCTGTTACTAATTGCCACAAGAGCTCTGCCGTCCAGAGCCGGTGCCTGATAGCCGTTGGCCTCCTTTGTCCCGAGTGGCCTGCCTGGATTCGCGGGACGGGGCTGCAGGATGGCCAGAGCCACAGGGACTGGCGTCCCCACTCTGCCTTTTGCCGGCTGTGTGGGCTGAGCAACTTTCTTGCCCTCTCTGAGCCTCTGTTTCCAGACTCACGGAGGGGATAAGTGAAAGGGGGCTATCCACCGGCCTCCCTTACTAGGACACAGATGCGAGCTTTCACCCAAGAGACTGACCTGTAAGCCGCAGGGCTCCCATAAGGACACGTGATGCTCAGTGAAGGTGTGTGGGGCCCGCTGGCCACTAGTGGGCGGGGTCATATCATTAGGGCTGTCAGCACAGCCACTGGGGCCACCGCACGAGTCGATGCCTGCCAGTCCCAGAGGCAGACGGTGAGCGGGACTGTCCTGAGCAAACATGTGAGCTCCTGGGGAGCCTGGGCCCTGAGGACAGGCACACGTCATTCCAGGATCTGGCGCCCGATGGGCACAGAGCTACCAGCCGGCCAATGCCCTGCATACCCTGATGCCAGGGCGAGTGCAGCGAGCCTTCTCAGAGCGTTTGCTGCTCTGCACAGGCAAGGGGTGGCGCTGCCCACGGCCGGAGGGCACACTGGCCTCCGTGGAGGGAGAAGACAACGAGGACCACCCCCCGGCACCTCGTATGGAGGGCCTGCCGCGCCTGGGACTATCTAGACCACAGCCCTGAGGGGGTGGGGGAAACTGAGGCAAAGACAAATCATCCCACTTGCCCCTGATCACACGGCCGCCGCCCACAGCCCATCCTACCAGAGGCAGCACCGTGACGGCTGGAAAGTTCTGGGTGGTGACCCAGGACATGCAAGGCTGACACACAGGAAACTCTGCACCAGCTCTGCCCCAGAGCGTCCCCCGTGGTCCTCACGTTGGCGCCTGGGGCGGGCGGCAGACCAGCCCTCACTTCACAGAAACGGAGGCCTCCGCCTTGGGCCCCGGGACACACGGGGCTCCCCGGTGACTTTAGAGAGGGTCTCAGACGAGTTTCAGGCGTGGCCTGGGCAGCGCAAAGCTGCTTGCTCCACACGACAGGTGACAGGTGACACGCACAGAGGTCTCGGGCAGGTAAAGATGAGGCACAGGAGAAGCTATCGGTGCGGTCAGGGGCCGGGGGAGTGGTCCTAGGGGACCGTTCTGTTTCTGGACGCGGCCGTGGGCCGGTGCGTGAAACTCCGTCCAGCGGCTCCCTTACGGCCTGTGTCTTTGCTCTGTCCACGCAGACCTTTCTCTCAGAAAAGATACGACGCATAATCTTCCCCAAGATACCACTTTGCACCCGTGAGACCAGCAAGGAAAACAAAGGCCGTTAGCGCTACATCAGCTCAGTCATTCCCCACGCGGTGGGTACTCCTGAGGCCACGTGGCAAAACTCTCAAAACGACAAGGGCAGGCGCGCTCCTACCCAACGGCGGGTCTACTGCCACCACTGGCGTTGGAAAAAGAAAAGGAATACGGCCAAGACCATGTGTGCGCATGCAGACATAGAATATTCTGGAAGGCGACGCAAGGAAGCAGTGACCATGGCTGGCTCCAAGCAGGTGGTCAGAATAGAGGTAAGGGCAGACTTACTCTTTACTACATATCCTTTTTTTTTTTTTTTTAAGTTTATTTATTTATTTATTGAGGTGGGGGGGAGAAAAACATGGGAGGGGCAGAGAGAGAGAGAGAGAGAGAGAATCCTGAGAAGGCTCTGCACTGTGAGCACAGAGCCCAACTCGGGGCTCGAATCCATGAACCGTGAGATCATGAACTGTGAGATCTGAGCCAAAACCAAGAGTCAGATGCTTAGCCAACTGAGCCACCCAGGCGCCCCTTCCCAACGTATTTTTTGGTACATTTTACATTCTGTACCATGGAGGTACTTTATATATTCAGAAAATAAAGTGATAAAAAAGAGGAAACTTTCTAAGGAAGGCTAACATAGACAGACCTAGGTGGTACGAAGGAGAAAGGTGGGCATTGTGGTCACCGGGCCCAGGGAAGCCGACAGGGAACCCCACAGAGTCCTGGGGTGGGGACACCGGGTCTGGCTGGTCCCCCTCCCGGGCCAGCAGCATTGGCAGCTGGAGTCCAGCCCGCCAGGTTCTGCTCTCAGCTGACCCCCCAGGCACCCTGTTCTTCAAGGCTTCTTCACTTTGAGACAGCCGTGGTGACTGCTTTGTGAGTCCCCTTCCTTCCAGAACATTCTCTGTCTACACATGCAAATTCTTTTCCTTTTTCCCACCGAGTGGTGGATTTAGACCCCCCCCCCCTCCGCCCCTTGTTCCTTTCACTGAACCGTGCGTGTGGTTCTCCAGCTGCTCAGAAAGAGTGGCCGGTCCTTTTTCACACTTTCGTGGTCTCGCCTGCATGGCCCACACTTCTGACCCACACGTGGAAGGCCCATGGCCAGGACGCCAGGGTGGGCCGCCAGGAGATGAGGCTGGCTGTGGGGTTGGCTGTGACTTCAAGGTCAGGTGTCCTCAGGGCCCGTCCCTTTGTGGCTCAGCCCTGTCCCCCAGGACCAGGCTAGTCCCCAGCCACCTGGAGGGCTGCCTGCTGATGGGCCCCTAGGGCCTGCCCTCCGTCAAGCTGGGAGGGGCCGAGGTGTGGCGATCGAGGCGCTCAGGGCCAGGCACACCCATACTCCCCTCATCTCGGCTCTGCCCAAGGTCATGCCCCTCCCGGCGTAGCCCTCCGCCTCGTCCAGTAGATGGGCAGGTAAAGGGCCCGTCCCCCTTGATCTAGGACAGTTGTGTGGGGCCATCTCAGGTACAGAGCCCGGGAGCTGCGTCCAAGCAGGTGGGACTGTGGAGGCGTAGCTGGTGCTCAGAAGCCCAAGCCTGCCCTCGGGCCACCGGCTTCTATGGCCAACCTTAGGTATGGGTCCCTCAGGGCGCCCCAGGCCGGTCAACCTGACTGTGACCCTCCCGGCAACCCCTCCCTTCCTCCCTAGGACAGCAGGGTGCAGGTGGGGTCAGCCTGAGCAGGACACGGGGCTAGATCCTGGCCATGAGCCTGGACGGCTGCGGGCTCTCCTGCGGGGACAGGGCACGGCCAGATGAAGTGCCATCTGCTTCAGCATTTAAGACCGGCTCTGATTACCCACCCCTCCTCTGAGTGGGTGGGGGTCTCCCCGCCCTCCGAGCCCCTGCCTTCTGGGTTTCCAGCCAAGCTAACCTTGTCACCTTGGACAGCCAGTCCCCAGCCCAAGCTCCACCTGAAAAGCAAGGACACTGGATCCGAACGGTGGTTCTCACCCTGGGCTGCACAGGCGAATCAGCTGGAAGGCTTCGTAAACACACTGGTGCCCAGGGCCCACACCCCAGCTGAGTCCTAACCCCCCCCCCCCCCGGGAACGGGCCAGGGCTGCACCATTTTGAAAGCCATCCATGTGATTCTGAAGGGCAGGGATGCTTCGACCCCTGGTCTGCACTGATTCCCGTGCTTCCTGTGACTAATAAAAGACATTCTGGGGCCCACGGCTCAGCTGTCACGGCCCTGCCTGCCCCCGTGACCTCACCTCCTGCTGCTTGGCCCCTCATTCCTGCCACACGCTCTTCTTCAGCGCGCATCAGCTCACCCAACATGTTCCTGTCTCAGGGCCTTTGCACCTGCTGCTCCGTCTGCCTGGAACACTGCCTCTGCATGGCTGGCTCTGACGTGCACACGGCAAGAGGCCCTCAGCCGCCTCGTCCCCACTTTACCTCCCTTTACTGCCGTCACTGCAAAATGTACCCATCTGGGTCTCGTGCTCACACACTCCTTTCTGCCTCTCCTGTGTGGGGGCAGGGACTTTGAGCTGCTCACTGCCCTTCCCTGGGGTCCGGGGCAGTGCCTGGCATGTAGCAGACACTCATCCACAGATAGAAGGTCGTGCCAGAACAGTGCTGGTCTGGGCTCTGCCCGCCACGGGAAGCGGGTGCAGGGGTAGGCGGCGAGGTTAGGGCTCCCCCCTCCCCCCGCCAGGACCCCCATGGGCGGGAAGCCGCAGCCCACTGTACAGACGGGAACACTAACACTCGGTAAACGGAGACACTGACCTTGGCCATCTTCTGCCTCCATGTGAGCCCCACCTGTCGCCTTCCTTTCAAAGGTATGAAGCCCCTAACTCGTTCTGAAAACTGCTCAAAATGTACCGGCTGAATGGAGGCCTTTACAACGCCCTGTTCACAGAGCTCCCAGCCCCCACTGGAGTAAAGCCCAAGTTCTGCCCTCCTCCCCTCCCACCTGGCCGCTTCTCTCCCTGAGCACCTGCTGCTCTCCTCTCTCCTTCCCCACTCTCTCCCAGACCAGCTCTCGCAGGCTTGCTTGCTGCCAGGCTCGCTCTCTCTCTCTCTCTCTCCCCCTTTCCCCTCTCCCAGCTGCACAGCGGCCTTGCTCCTGTCTGAAGCCCTGCATCCAGCCCTGACAGCGCACAGTAGGGATGCAATCAATGTTTGTGCAATGAACGGTCCCCAGACGGACCCCACCGGCAGCATCGGGCGGCTGGAACCAACCGTCTGCCCTAGACGGGGCCGCGGAGTGACTCTCATCTGCGCCGGGACCCGCAGTGAGTGCTGGGCCTCTCGACACCAATCGGAAGAATGCGCATCCTGACTGCCAGCCCCAACCACCCCATGCCTGGGTTACAGGCCGAGTGGGGGAGAGGCTCTGAGCCCCTGCTCAATTCCCCTGCAAGGGAGAAATGCCCTGGGTGGTCGGGGGCGCCGGGGAGGGCATGCCCGTGTCCCTTGTCCCCACCATCACCATTGTCACCTGCTCAGAAGAGACTAAAAACCCCAACATCGGCCAGATCCCAACAGTGGGCCGTCCTCCCAAACAGCCAGCCCGTCCTCCTCAAGATGGTCAAGGTCACGAAGACAGGAGCTTCTGAGAAACCCTCACGACCAGGGGAAACTGAGGAGATGTGACAAGTCATTGCAAGGTGGGCTCATGGGACAGCGAAGGGGCTTGAGGCGCCAGTGGAGGAAAACCCAAACAAAGCATGGACTCCACCTATACTAACCTGTTGGGACTGATCTGCTGACCCGGATGAAGGGGCCAGTGTGCTAACTCTCGGCGAAACTGTAAATTTGAAACTGTACTTCCTGTAAATCTAAAACTGTTCTAAAACACAGTCGTTAAGACACTTGACCAAGCCACCAACTCTGGACGCAGTCTCCATCTCCTGGTCCCCTTTCCTCCCAGCCCCACCTGGCCCCAGGTGGCCCCAGAAGGACAGTCGGCTGGGACCAGCCCGGCCCGGGAGCCCTGTCTGCTGGGTAACATCTTCAGTGCCTATCTAAGATAACTCTCAAAACCTGGCCCAGGGGATGTCCTCACTCATCATTCCACTTCACAGATGGGGAAGCTGAGGCTCTCATATAGGAAGGGATTTTCACAAAGCTGCACTTAGTCAGGGCACACCTGGGATCCGAACTCAGCTCTCTCTAACCCCACAGCCCCGTCACCAGTGTTTCCCCAACTTGAGCAGGCACCGGAATCCCCCAGAGGGTTTGTTAACAGCCCGCCCCACCCCGAGTTTCTGACTCAGTCATCTGGGAGGGTCTCACACGTCTGAGCGGTTCCCAGATGACGCTGAGGCTGCAGGTCTGGGGACCCCACCGAGAACCACACAGCCCTACCACGCTGTCTCCCGGGCAGCGCCACCCCACGCTCAGGCACGGGGAAACCACTCACCCCTCCCTGCCGCCTGCTGAGCCCGCCCCTCCTGCCCGGCCATGTGACCCGGGGCCTGTGCCTCGGTCTCCCCATCTGCGAAGTTACCTACACTGCCCAGCTGTAGTGAGGATTAAAAGGCAAATCCGGGGAACTCATTCTAGGAGCAGCTCCTGGCTCACGGGGAGGCCGGCCACGTGCCTGACCTTGGATGAGAGGGCACGAGGGAGGAGCTCTTTGGACAGTGGAGCACTCCCAGTCGCCACGGCTGCTCCCGCCAGGCCCTCGGGCAGCAGGACCCCACTCCCAGGGGTCCTCTGTGCCCACTTGCCTTGGGGACCGGAAACCAGGATGTGTTTCTTTCCCACACCACACCCTCACCAGCTCCTGCCTCGGGCGGGGTCTCTGCCATCAGACCAGAAGGGCACCCTCCCACCCCTCGCGCAAGGGGCTCAGAGGTGAAGTGACTCGCAGTGGGGTGATGGGTGTCCCCCCATATCCACATCCACCTGGAACGTGACCTTATTTGGAAACAAGGTCTTTGCAGATGTGATTAGTTAAGAACGTTGTGATGAGATCATCCTGGATTTAAGGCTGGCTCTCAGTGCAAGGACAGGTGTCTCCATAAGAGGAAGGACACAGAGACAGGGAGGAGGCCGTGTGGGGACAGAGGCAGGCAGGGAGGACCTTCCCCTGGAGCCTCCGGAGGCACTGTGGCGACCCCGCCGGCACCCTGGTTTTGGACTTCTCATCAAGTTCTGATCAAGAATTCACCATCGATCCTAACTATGTGACTGGGTCCCCGGATTTCTGGAGTTTATCCCAAAGAAGTAATAAGTTTAGGGGCGGTGTGGTGGCCTGGTCGGTGAAGCGTTCGACTTCGGCTCAGGTCACCAGCTCACGGTCGTGGGTCCGAGTCCCATTGTCAGACTCTGCACTCACAGTGCGCAGCCTGCTCGGGATTCTCGCTCGCTCTCCCTCTCTCTCCGCCCCTCCCCAGCTGTGCCCTTTCTCCTGCTCTCAAAAATAAATTAACAACAAAAAAAAGGAAATAACAGTTAACAAAATCGGAAATGAAAGATGACCAAAACAGCACTATTTACAAACGCAACAAGCTGGAAATGACCCAAGGCCAACTGTTGGCGGAAGGCGACACAGGCATCAGAGCGTGGAAGGACGCGCAGGGCCCACACTAAACACATACGGGTCTCGGCCCCACAGCCGGGTGACGGCACGCCTCTGCGGGCGGCGAGGGCAGAGAAGGTAAGGTGGACGACTGCGTGCGCTGTGCACGTCCCTGGCGGCAAGAGTCAAACTCAGGCTCCGCAGAGCCTGGGTGGTGTTGGTGAAGCACAGAGAGCAGGTCCTGTGCCCAGCTTCCCCCGCCCCGCTGCCTGTCCCTCTCAAGTGGCCTGCCACCTCCAGGGATCACGGCTGTGAGAGGCTGGTGTGGCTGGTGGCAGGCCTCGCCCCTAAGAGCTACAGTGAAAAATACGCGAGCAGACCTCCCTCGACGGCACTGCCCCTGCCCCGGCAGGTGGCTCCTCGGGGGCCAGGCTGGAGGTGGCCCTTTGAAAGGCTCCCAGCGCCAGGAGCATTAGGCCTGCTGCCCTGCCGGGGTTTTCCAACCGGGGAGGGCAGAGAGGGCGGCGGTGTGGTCCCCAGCGCCCGGGGCGTCCTCCCCTGCTTGGGCCCCAGACGTTCCTCCAAGGCCTCGGTTTACTTGTCAGAGATGTGCTGGGACAGCAACCCAAAGCCCGGGACCGTGGGGGGCTGAGTGGATACCCCAAACGTGGCCTCTGCACACGAGGCACTCTCACTCCGCCTGAAAGAGGAGGGCCTGAGCACATCGTGCTGAGTCAAGTAGGCCAGTCACAAGAGGACCGATACTGTACCACCCACTCAGATGAGGTGTGCGGGTGCCCGGGGTAAGCGCTTTCACAAAGACAGAAGGAAGGGCGGCCGGAGGCGGGGCTGGGAGAGGGGGCAGGGAGGGAGGGAGG